GTTTGAGCTTCAGGATTCATTGGGAAGTGCGAAACCGAAAATGATTGAATTGAACCAGAAAAGCTCCGGTTGTATTCAGCAGTTGTGAAGCGTAACGTACAACTATTCACTGTGAATCGCGGAGAGTCGTTTCGTAACAAAACAGTGATATCAGTTTTTGAGTAGGCCAATACTTAGAGCCTTAAGATATCCCAAAGAAGCACCATTCCCATCAAATACATAACGAGAACGAAATGACAGTGTTTAATCAAGACCGTTGGCCATTACATATGTATGGTAAACGTGACCGGGATGTGGCGCGAGAGTGGGAGATCAACGCCCAACTCTCCTGAAGATTTTGATCGCAAAATTGAAGAAGAGTCATCTCCCTCTTCCATCTGTCGCATCATCGGGGGATCTCTGGAGCCAACCGCTGCAAGAAACTGGACTAACTGGCTTACCGACGTCAACGTCCAGGAACCGAACTGAACTGAACTGATTTTCTGAAGCATGGATTTACTCTTGTTGAATATTGTGACATATAGAAGCTTTTAATGTAGAACAGAATAAACAACGTCATCGGACGATATTATTGAAAGAACACTGTCACTGAAAAAAATTTAGTGATTTGATATGCTTTGTTTTATCGCACCAATAAAAATCGGACGCTAAAAGTTCTACCATCGTTTGATGAATTGTTGATGAAGAATCGACTTCAAGTTAAGGAGAGAATATTTGAATAGGTATTCGAGATCTCGTGAACGATTTCAATCATTGCGATTGGCTGAACGTCCGATTTCAGTATTCGCGGGTGGTTCAAATACCTTGACAATGGCAGCTTCAGGTCCTATTTTGCGCTGGAAAAAGGTTGTAACTGCTGCCGGAAATGTTCCAAGGTCTCGACATGGTCACAAAGCAGTTGCGATCAAAGATCTCATTGTTGTATTTGGGGGTGGTAACGAAGGCATCGTTGACGAACTACATGTTTTTAATACAAGTTTGTTGAGAATTTACTTATAATGTAATTGCTATTTTTCTTTGTAGCAACCTGTCAGTGGTTTCTGCCAGCAGTGCACGGTGATATACCGGCTGGTTGTGCTGCGTTTGGCATGTTGGCCGAAAATACTCGCGTATTGATGTTCGGTGGGATGCTGGAGTACGGAAAGTACTCCAGTGAATTGTACGAGCTGCAGGCTTCCAGATGGGAATGGAAGCGTTTGAAGCCAAAACCGCCGCGTAACGGTCCTTGCCCTTGTCCTCGAATTGGTTTGTTGCAGAATGTTCAGTCATTCGTTGTTTTTTAGGTCACAGTTTTACCCTCGTTGGTCAGCGTGCTTTCTTATTTGGCGG